GTTCACACCTTTTCGGACACCAGAGAGTCCACACAGGAGAGAAACCATACAAATGCCAAGAGTGTGGGAAATGTTTTGCTAACAATGCAAATCTTCTGACTCACCAGCGAGTCCACACTGGAGAGAAACCGTACAAATGCCAGGAATGCGGAAAATGTTTTACATACACTTCAACTCTTCTTGCACACCAGAGTGTCCACACGAAAGAAAAACCATACAAATGCCAGGAATGTGGAAAATCTTTTAATCACAATTCATGCCTCCTGACACACCGGAGTGTCCACACCGGGGAGAAACCAAACAAATGCCAGAAGTGTGGGAAATCTTTTAATCGCAGTTCAAACCTACTGACACACCAGAGAGTCCACACAGGAGAGAAACCGTACAAATGTCAGAAGTGTGGGAAGTGTTTTGCTCAGAATTCAGGCCTTTTTAAACACCAGAGAGTCCACACTGGAGAGAAGCCATACAAGTGCAAAGAATGTGGGAAATGCTTTGCCCAGAGTTCACACCTTCTTGGACACCAGAGAGTCCACACTGGAGAGAAACCATACAAATGCCAAGAGTGTGGGAAATGTTTTGCTAATAATGCAAACCTTCTGACTCACCAGAGACTCTACACTGGAGAAAAACCATACAAATGCCAAGAATGTGGAAAATGTTTTATTTACACTTCAACTCTTCTTGCACACCAGAGTGTCCACACGGAAGAAAAACCATACAAATGCCAGGAATGTGGAAAATCTTTTAAACGCAATTCACACCTTCTGACACATCAGAGAGTCCACACAGGAGACAAACCTTACAAATGCCATGATTGTGGGAAATCTTTCAATCGCAATTCAAACCTCCTGGCACACCAGAGAATCCACACAGGAGAGAAACCATACAAATGCCAGGAGTGTGGGAAATGTTTCACAGATACTTCAACCCTACTTCTACATCAGTGTGTCCACACAGGAGAGAAACCTTATGAACGCCAGGAGCATGGGATATCTTTTAATCACAGTTCAAACCTCCTGAGACACTGGAGAGTCCACATAAAAGAGAAAGCGTACAAATGCCAGGAGTGTGGGAAATGTTTTACATACAATTCAAGCTTTCTTGCACACCTGAGTATCCACACAGGACCCAAAATATTCAAATGTGAAGAATGTGGGAAATGTTTTGCTCAGACTTCAAGTGCTCTGACACCGCAGGGAGTGTACACAGGAGCAAAATCACACAAATGTCAAGATTGTGAGAAACATTTAGTTGAGATTTCACACCTTATGACACACGAGAAACCCCACTCGGGCAAGAAACTATACAAATGCCAAAAGTGTGGGAAATCTTTTAATCGCAATTCAAACCTCCTGACACACCAGAGAGTCCACACTGGAGAGAAGCCATACAAATGCAAAGAATGTGGGAAATGCTTTGCCCAGAGTTCACACCTTCTTGGACACCAGAGAGTCCACACTGGACAGAAACCATACAAATGCCAAGAGTGTGGGAAATTTTTTGCTCACAACGCAAACCTTCTGACTCATCAGAGAGTCCACACCGGAGAAAAACCATACAGATGCAAAGAATGTGGAAAATGTTTTACTCAGAGTTCACACCTTCTCGGACACCAGCGAGTCCACATTGGAAAGAAATCATATAAATGCCAAGAGTACAGGAAACATTTTGCTGAGAATTTACACATTCAGGGACACAAGGGTCAGGTGATATAAATGCAAGCCAGGGATTTTTTTCATGTACACCAGATAATTCAAGTTGGATATCATGTGGAATGAGAGAATCCACACAGGAAAGAATCCAAATAAATACAGTGGTGCCTCACATAACAAGCGTACCGTTTAACGATGAATCCACATTGCGATGCGGATTTCCCCATTGCTAATGCGAGCGCATGCTCGTATTGCGATAGGGGAACAGCTGTTCGGCGGTTCTAAAATGGCCGCCAGACACCAAAAATGGCCGCCGGAACACCAAAAATGGCCACCGGGACACCCAAAATGGCCACAGGACACCCAAAATGACCACCAGAACACCAAAAATGGCCACCGGAACACCCCAAATGGCTGCCGGAACACCCAAAATGGCCGTCGAAACATGGGGAAACATCGGATAATGGTGAGTTTTGGGCCCATTTGGAACACATTAAACTAATGGATTAACCTCGCTATGCGGGGCACCACTGTACCAGGGATGTGCGAAAGATTTCATTTCCAATTTACAACACAGAGTATATAGACAAGGGAAGCCTACACAGGAGAATTATTGCAGTTGTTGGTGATGTCATTCATGAGAAAATTCACTCCACTCCACTTTCCTTTTAGTGGCTAAGACTGTCTTTTACAGCATGGAGACCCTTCTAGGTGTAAAGTTTAAAGCCCACCAATTGTTTTGTTAATGGAGTCTTAGAGAAAACAAAATGCTGGTGACTTTTTTCCACGGTCACTTCATGAAATGAGGAAATTTCCCATTTTCTTATTTTCCTCTTTCTGTCAGTCATGGTAGAGGATGGTGGAGAGCTGGTCATAATAAAGTGTGCCTCCTGACGTATCCTGGTTATTCTTAATGAAAAATCTATTTCTGCTTTTGTTGTTTTGGCCTGATATAATCGGCAAGCATGGTTTCGTTCATGGAAGTAGACACCTAAAAGGAAGTTGAATGGCCCCCCTTGAAAGGAAATCCTTTTGCAGAATCCTTTTTCTAAAGAAATCCCGTCATCAGCTGACACTCCCTCTTTCAGAGTTGTACTCAAGCAGTCATTCTTCACTCTCTGCCTCTTGGGATGGTCCTCCTTGCCTTGAGTTCTAGAGTCTCCCAATTGCACGGTCGAACGTGAGAGGCTGTGGAGATAGCCTTTCAGGCGGTATTGTGAGTCTATTGGAAAAGGGAAGGATCTGGGAACTGAAATCACAGAGTACAAAAGGAGCCCCATTCAAGTGGCGCAACCTGTGTCCAATGATTGACCCGCATATTGTGATCGTAGGTTCCCCACGTCTGAAAGACCTGCTCTGGCTTTTTGTTGCATACGCAGGCTGATCTCACGGTCTTGGCTGTAACTCTTGAAGCACCTGCACCGACTGAGGATTGCCTGCCTGAGAGGGACCGACTGCCTGGCTTTTTACGAGCCTGTTAAGATTTTTCAGGAGAGGGCCTGTTAAAAATACCAACAGTTTCAGAAATGTCATGCAGAAAAGGGCTGCTCGTCTGTTGCTTGTAGGTCACAAAAGCCACTACCAACTCTTGACTGATTTTAAGGAGGGAGTAAAATTTCAGTTGGCACATCTTTCACCCACTATGCTGCTTGTTTTTTTTCCATTCGTGTAATTGAAGGAGCAATAGACCCAAAGGAGAAAGAATGGAGTCCCCTCAGCTAGAGATGTCTGAGCAGAAAAGAGATATAAAAGCAGGGAAGACGAGGGAAAGTGCATGGGTTGTTAGAAGATTTCCCTAATCTGAAGGTAGGAGGATTCGTACCTGATCTGGATAAATCTAAAGAGAAGAGGACGTCGGCTGAAGCCCTAGAATGGACGGGCCTGGTCTTCCGGTGGGGGAAAGGTCACTCGAGGAAGGTGATTCTGCCGGACCTTTCCTTCCATCATCCACCACCAGGTGGAGAATGAGCCAGACACCCTTGCTGTTGGAGAATATGTGCGATTCGGAGTGCTCCATTGAGGAAGCCCTGAGAGGGGGAACGTTTCAGGCCAGCCCCTCAATGAACCTTGTCCATTTACAGACAAGAGTTATCATCCTCACAATTTCGGCAGTTACCAGATTTTAGTTGTTTTGAACCAATAGAAGTTGTTGTAGATTCACCCAATGTTAAATTAAATAAACTTGTTAACGTTCAAAAGGAGACTCAGTCGTCAATTCCCGCCAAAAAGGAGGAACTGTTCCAGATCTTTAACGAACCCAGTAACAGTGTATCTGCATCCTTTGCTATTATCATGGTTTTAATTATAATAGCTTAGTATGAATGGGATGATGGCAAGGCAGGGTTGTATTTTTTTAAGCTAAATGTGTTTTTATCTGTTTCTCTTCTTTTTATAAGTTTCTAAGCCACCTTGAGCACAAATATAGGTGTTGTTCTGTCATGGCACTTCTGACTTATGGTGATTCTGTGATTTAAGACGGAAGTTCTGAGGGTGGGTGCTCTCGTGGTAGGTGGCTTGGGTGACTCACGTTTGGGGGGGCCACCTTGGCCGTGAAGAGTGGGTTCCACAGCCTGGGCATATATATGGACCCGATGCTCACCATGGAAACCCAGG